ATGTACGTGTCAAGCAATTTGGTTGAAGAATATTTTGAATGAGTTGCATCAGGAACAAGAAGGTCCAATCACTATATTTGTGGACAATAAGTCGGCTATATCACTTGCAAAGAATCCAGTCTCCCATAGCCGAAGCAAACATATTGACATGAAGTATCATTTTATTCGGGAGCAAATCAAAAATAGAGTTGTGGAGTTAATCTACTGCAAAACTGAAGAACAGGTAGCAGATATTTTTACAAAACCATTGAAGGTGAATGTATTCCAAAAATTCAAAGAGATGATTGGCATGAAAGATGGAGTTTGAAGGGGAGTGTTAGAAATACCAAACTCATCTTTGCACCGTTTGTAAAATTAATAGGCGTCAAGTTGTTTTATTGCTGTCCTTGTATTAAGTAAATGTAATAGCCGTGCATGTTGTAATCGGTTAGTTAATAGTCATGATGTCAGGTGTTATGTATTAAGACTAAGTAATGTGTGGTGTTATCCATGTGTTAAATCGGTCAATCGGTGAAGCGGTTGGAGAAGCATTACGTTGGCTGAATTGAAGTTATAAATAGATTGGTGTTATATGTATTCAATATGTGAAAAAAATCAAGTGAAAAAAAAGAAGAGAGCCACAGCACTGTTGAGAAAAGAAAGTGCAGAAAAGTCTTTGTAACTTTGAGTGTTGTTTTTCAATAAGAAAGTGTTATTCAGTCTCCATTAATTTGTCTTTTACTATTATATTTCCAACACTTTTTGTATGAATCATGTTTGGTGAACTATGCTTTGGATAGTGATAGATGTAGTAGGCCTGGAAAGGATACTTTTCTCCTTCACAGGCTCGCTTGTTTGCACATGCATACCACCCTTCCACTTTTTCTAATACAGAGGCAAGGATCAAAGATCCGTAGATATCCTATGGTTACCCCTTGCTGGCAGCTTAAAGTGTTTAAACTCCCTTATTACCAAATCGAAAGCCTTGGGATTAATCCCCCCCCCCCCCCCCCCCCCCCCCCCCCCCCCCCTTCTCTCGTTTTTTTTGTTTTTTTTTGGGAATTTAGTATGTATGTTAGTAAGAGTGGAAAACTGCGGTTACTTGTGGGAATTTAGGCCAATATAAAGATTATTTTTTATTTTTTTTATAGGCTTGAAGTTGTTTAATTTGAATTTTTCCAAATCCCCAAGAACAGAAGAAATCAAAGGCCGGATACAACTATATTGACCCTTGATTTTAGTTTATGCTCAACTCAAAAGCTATTCAGCCATTAGTTCATTTAGTACATTCATCAAAGGTTGGATTCTTGTAGTTCTTTTCAATGTGGACATAATATAATGCTATGCATTGTTTGATGCGAAAGCGTTAAGTGTGAACCCTCAAAGCATGCTGCTCAAGGAGTGAAAACAAAAGGATTAAAAAAAAATGATTAAGTACTGCAAATGCTTCGATATCGTATGATTATTGACCAATTCATCTTTCACTCGTGTCAAACATATCATCAAATATACTGTAGAAACATGAAGATTTAGAATCATTTCACGGCAGTGCCATCTCGTATAAAGGACAAAATCAGCACCTCAGTAGCCATGACAACACTACGTGAAAGGTTATTCTAGCTCAATCTACAACGGTAACCCATAATAGACATCCTGGTCATAGTACCAGCATCCCGGCCACCACATAGGGAGCCAAGAGAAGGACAAAGCCACAAAGATTCTGACACCTACTCACTTAGAGGCGGTGACACGATCTCTTCATACACTATAAATATAAATGCTCCTATGAAACATGAGATAGGATATTATAACAACCAATTAGTGTTATTACCAATCAATTTCATCGTTAGATCAATTCTGTTGATCCAACGGTTATATTTATTTCCACTTTTGTATGGTTATGATTACTCATATTTAATGTGAAAACATTAAATATAAAAAATCATAACTATACAAAGGTGAAAATAAATATAAAGTATTAAATATGGGGAATCATAACCATACAAAGATGGAAATAAATATAATCGTTAGATCAACATAATCGATCTAATGGTGAAATTGATTGATAGTAACACTAATTGGTTGTTACAATATCTTTTCACATGAAACATACATAACTCATTCCTTAACATTTAAACATGCTCCTATGAAAGATACATAACTCATTCCTTAACACTTAAACTTATACCAATAACTGACATGAACGTCGGAGTGTTTTTCAGGTATTCTAACCATACCTATTTCCTAAGAATTGTGAAGAAACATCATTGCAGCACCACTAGAAGAGTCTTCTCAGCCACTATAAGTCCAGCCCAAATTTAACCGTGTGTGACCAATCCAAAATTCCTGACCGAATCAGGTACCTCATCACAGATTAAGGCAAAAGGAGGGAAGAAATAAAATAATATATTTTTGGGGGCTAAGTGATATTTACAATTTCATTATTTTCATAATATCTGAAGCATTTTGGTAAGAATTGAGATTGGTTGGGTGTAACTCTGCAATATTCGGCACTCTCCCTCTCCCTTTTGTTGTTCCGGAAAGTTGGTGTTGCCATTTTCAAAATGTTTGTCTTTCTATTGTTTTGTTGTTTGCCAGTAGGAAAGCAAAAAGATGAAGGTAAAAATGAGACTAATAAGGAGAATCATAATTATGTAAAAGAAAATATTGGGCCACTTTCCCGTGACTTCAGAAGGTTACATTTGTCTCTGCAATTAAATTGCTGCATAATTTTGTGTAAAAATATACAGTTGTACATTAATTTTTCATAAATTCACAGAGTAGATGAAAGATCAAAGTGATAATTGATTAGATCAAGAAAATTATAATGATGGATAAAATGGAAATGCCATTAGTTTATGTTTTTCTTGTAATCTATAGTAAGAATTTGACAAGTATATATATAAAGGTTAAACTAGTGGAGATACATTGAGTGTACCCAGATTGAGCATACAGTTACAAAAGACTATTGTGTTTCACTGTATCCTGAAATCACTGGTTGCACATGTGGATGGTTTATTCATAAAGGGAGATTCCTTCTCAGTAATCTCAATTTCTTTTTGGCCTTGTGAGCATTGGTTTCAACTTTCCCGTTAACTCCCTCTAACAAAATAGCAAAAGGGGTGAGTGATCTAACATAGTGATCTAAGAAACTCAAATCTAACGTCACAAACAAGCAAACATGACTACTAAAGCAATATTGAACTATACTTATTTCAGTTTTGGAATAGCCTAAAAAAGAAACCAAAAGCAGCTTATTCAATCTGAGTTTTATGGCCTTGTCTTTATTTACAGTTTGTTTCGGGCTCTTATAATTTTCAACCGGGAGATTCTATATTAAAACTTAAGCTTCATAAATTGAATTTTGATAATATTTTTAAGGGTCATGCAAGAGAAGTTGAAGAGATTAATAAAAATTTACTTTACTGCAACCTGGGCATTCTGTGGAACACATTGGCCATGCCCTTGTAGGTTTTTTCCCAGATTATGCTTCGTTCTCTCTAAATTTTCTCTAGTCTAGAAGGCGGACTTGTGTACATAACTACATATTTGTATGTATCATAATTACCATGTGAATGGCATACTTTCCACAAAATATTTGGCATGTTTCACATTTTGCGGTAAATTTAGCAGAAACTTGTATGAATCAAATATTTATGTTTTGAATATTTCATGACCATAAAATCCAAAGTTCATTTTCAAGGAAAATGTTTCCATTAGGGTAGGATTGTGTGTTTTTAGTTTTAGTTTTAGAACTTCAAAAATGTGATTTCAATGTATCAATCTCTATTGAATTCAACAAAAATCAAACAAGAGTAAAAAAAAAAACACACATTAAAAAGTTTAAAAATTACGTTAAATATTTTTAAAATTTTATTAGAAAAGAGTTTTTTTTTATATTGGTATTCTGTACTTCCACATTATTAAAGACTTAACTTCCTAAGTATTAATTATGATAGTCAAATGAAATTTTAAATGTATTAAAATTAAATTTCAAAACTAAACAGAAGTATTATATACATGATAGATTACATCTAGGGTGGGTGACAATTCGAATTAACATGACACGAATTTGATACGAATACAAATACACTTAATATAAATACAATGAAAATATAAAATCAGTTTAAAACTTTCGACACAAATTATTCACACAATATGAATAACCCACAATCATAAAGTGTCACTTATTATTGACATTACACAACATGACACGAATAACATGTTAACTTCAAAGTGTATTGTTTATTATACGAGTTGACATGACAAAAAAAAATATAAATAACTTATTTATGACATGACATAAATAACCTATAAAATGATTAAAATAAGTCAATTTTAAATTCACGAGTTGACACGTAACATAACACGAAATTTTATATGTAAATTTTTGGCAACACAAAACACAACATGAATTTGAAAATGTTTGTGTAGACATCGGGTTGTATTGAAAATTATCACCCTTCCCACATAATTAATTTAGCATTATTTCTCTCTTAATAATCATAAAACAATTCAGATATATTTATCTCGAAAATAAGAAAATCATCTTCCTCTTTTACTTTCTTTTTGAATATATTCTTCCATCACTAATATGTATAACAGACACTCGTGCCCGCTGATGATTGATCATATTAGAAACTCAACAAGGGCATGGTTAGCGCAAACCAAGATTAAACACTACACTCAAGGTAATTACAACATTAAGAATGTCATTAATAACACAGACAGCTATATTTTATACATTTGACTAACTACTTATCATTTGAAAAAGAGTCATCTAATCCTTAATTGATCACAAACTTACTATAGCAGAATTTTGTTCTAAAGTTCACAACACTCCACTTGTTTCCCGGTGTCTCTGTTTGGCTGGTTTCGTCATTAGTATGAGTTTTCTCATTTTTTCTTGCTTTGCATCATAGAGTTTTCTTTATGCAAATACACAAGAAGATGCACCATAGCCAACTCCTCCGCATACTAAAATTCAAGAACGTTAGTGGTTGCACATGTGGATAGTTTATTCATAAAGGGCAACTTAGGTTCCTTCTCAATGATCTCAATTTCTTTCTGGTCTTCTGAGCATTGGTTTGAACTCTCCCGTTCATTTCCTCTAAATACTGCAGCACATGAAAACGGAAGATCAGAATTTAAATGTGCTTTTACATTATTTGGTTTGAAGAAAGGGTGGAAACAAAAGACAATGAAAAGATAAAAGATGATAATTTTTTGCTTCCAATTTAACTCAGTGCCATGATAAATTTTCACACAACCATAGCTGGTTAGTTAAATTGAAGACATAAGTTTTTCTATAGCATATGCTTATGAGAAATAAATTAACCACGTTAAGTTGCACAGTATATCAGCTATTTGCGTGCAGCTTGTGCATACCCTGCGGTATAAATATTAAATAAAAATCACTTCTGGTTAAACCCTAATTAATAAAGATAGGGGTGAGTACAATCTTTACATGTAACTTTGTTCTTATATTTTTGCAAAAGAGATTATTTCTTAATTTCGAACCTGCACCTTTCCGTCACAGCTGTCGTAAAGGTGTAAATGAGTCAACCGACTTAACAGGAACCTACGGCTTGACTACGTCAGGTCAAACTCGGCCTATTACATATCAGCCTATTACATATAGTCAAATAGAGTAGTCTCAGACCTAAAAAAAACTTATTTAGAAAACATGTCATATGTTTTCTTTTACATATCGGACCTATAAGCTTATAGACTAGTCTATATCATTATTATTTTTAAATATAATAAATAAAATTATTATTTTAATGATTTTAAATAATAAAATAATATTATTTTAATTATTAAATGTCTAATAGGCTTAAGCAGGCCTTGGTCAATGCTTTTATTTATTTAAATATAAATTAGACTATTTATAATTTAGATTTATACAAGGCTAACAGATTAGGTCATGGCTAAAGTATTTTATATAAACATGACCTATTTGAGCCAAAATCTAGTCCATTCCAACCCATTTACACCCCTAGTCACGGGGTTTATGAAAATTGAAAAGACAATCATACATTCAAGTTTTTCTACCTTAAATCCGAAACTACAAATATAAAGGTTTGTAAATTGTAAATAATTTAGCATTAGTTACCTGTTGCTTTCTTCTCCTCTCCTGCTCAGCCTGGAGAATAGAAGTATGATGCACGTCAGAAACTGAGTAAATAAAATATAGGACAATAAAGAAAAAGAAAAACTTTCAACATTTTACAAATTATTTGGCAGTACCAGAGCCTGTTTAAGCTGGGCATTCTCTTCTTTTAATTGGTTCAGTTCTGCTTCTAATTCAACTGTGTATGCCTGCCAAGTCAAAAATAGAAAAGGTTATGTTACACAAGAAAGGTCATTACTCATTAACAATATTTTGTCAAATATTTATACTACAAGATTACAAAATCTAATCATTTATTAAAGGGAAATGTTAGAAGCACAAAAAGTTTAAATACAAATTCCTCACAATGTTTCATCTTTAGAACTCCTCTATCTTCAGCTTTTTTTCCTATATCTAATGATTGATATAGCTATTATGAAAAATCTGTTAATGCAACATTTTTGTTTATTTGAAGTTTAAAATGTGTCATCCCTCTCGTGTAATTTTATTCCTTTCTCAAAGGACAAAATAACGTAAAAGCTCTCAAAAGTGATCCCAACTTGCCTAAATAGTATTGTACAAGTTTTGCAAACCACTTTTCCGTCTCATGCTCCCACCAGACCAAATCATCATCTATGCATGTTGGAACTCTCCAAGTGAAAACCACAAAATGCACTCGATGACACTTACTGACATCTTTACACACCAAGCTACTTAAAAAAACTAAATCAATCTGCATTCTAATAAGAATCACAATCTTGATAAGATAATTGGGTTCGAGCTTTGTCTTACCCGTACATGGGATGGTCCTTCCAATAAATTTTTTTTTTCCATTCCCAAGGCTCGTAGAGATCAAGAGGACTCTTTATCATTTGAATCAATTACCTCTACTTCTAATTTATGGAAAAAAGAAAAGTTAATCCTAGTGTCTTGTTTAGGGATGAGATAGAAAGGAAAACTATGCTAGTGGCTAGTGCAATCACACAAGAGTATAATATCCTAACTATATATACAAGCTGCAATGCATACTATAAAATCTCTAAGAACCAGGTAAGCAACAAGGACATTTCATGAGATGTATAAATTTAAAGCATTTAGTTATATATTACAACCTTGAAATCAAAGAGGTACCTGTTTTCTGGCTCTGGATCTGGCTGCTGATTCTCTGTTCTTGATCATCCTCCTCTGCCTTCTCTCCACCACCTTTTCCACAGGACCATCTAACATCCTCTTTCTTCCTCTAAACACACCCATCTCCATCCCAAATTGACCAGCAGAGTTTTCACTAGTACCTATCCCATCTGATGAAGCCGGGCTCACCGGCGCCGCCATTCCTATAGTCGGCGCAACGGCCGCATAACCACCTCCTCCATTAACAACCCTCCCTCCAAAACCAACCCCCGGCGGCGGCTGCGGTTGTGGCGCATATCCACTATCCCTTTTCACATTCCCAGCATACATAGAAGACTCCCCAATTACACCACCACCACCTCCTCCTTGAGCCACCGCGTAAGGCGGCACAACAACATTCCCTCCTGCACCGCCAGCAATCCCCATCACAGGCCTATTACCTCCAACAAAAGAGGGTCCCATTGTAGAGTTGTTATTTGGGTACATTGCATAATTATGAGAAGCTTGGACAGTCATTGCACATGGTTCCCTAACTACCCCAGCTTTAATCAAGAAATCCTCCAAAGTCATCTCTCCAAAAGTTGGTTGGCGAGGGGCAGATTCGGTATTCTGACTCTGACCATTGTCATTTGCATTGGCACCATTGGCACCATTGTTGTTGCTGTTCTGATTCTGCTGTTGCTGTTGTTGCTGCTGAGATTGTTGTCCTTTGTGTATCTCAGACCAGACTTCATCCACTGTTTTCCTACACAGAGGTGCAGGAATAGTTAGTGATCCCTGTCGAGAAAGGCTTGGTTGTTTCCTTATTCCTTTCTCTGTGGAAGTTTCGCTTAGAGACAAGTTATTGATGTTGTTGTTGTTATAGTTATTATTGTTATTGTTGTTGGAATTTATGGCTTGGTTCTCTTCTGCGCTCCATATGCTGCTGAGAAACTCGTCCATGTTCATGGATCCAAAATTCTTGCCACTCTCACATAGAGTGTGCTGGAACTCATCAAGGGTCAGAGAGTATATTGAGGATTGTCTTCCAAGCGATGAGAATGGATGGTTCTTGTTGAGTTGTTGCTCGAAATGTAATGGTGATCCTATCTCGCCTTGTTGCTCTGGCACCACCATTTTTTCTTCTTAACTATGTTCTGTAGAATGCAACAGATGTTAAGAGACTGTAGTCAAACGCAACCCAAGTGTTATTTGTTAAAGCTCAAGAGAAGAAAAAGCAGAAAAATATATTACAAAAAAAACAGATAAAGCAGAAAAATATAAGTAGATAAATAAAAGCTTTATCAGGTGATCTTATAAATTTATAGTATTTTTATTTTTTAGATAATAAAATGAAGAAAAAAAATACACATTTTAACACATTTTCTTTATTTTTATTTTTCTAAATAAGTAAAATGTAAAAATAATTAAACAATTTTAATATGTAAATATTATTTTTGTTTTTTATTTTATTTTTATGATTAAACATAAAGAGGGATTTCCTATTTTTTTCTTTGTTCTTTTAGCTGACAAACCACACGAATTTGTTTGAAACGTGAGAACGACACATCAATAAAAAAAATATAAAACTACTTTGAATTTTTATTTAGTTGTTTGTCATGTTCATGATATTGATAGACATCCAAGAACTTTAACAAATATAAGAGGTCAACACATAAAATAGTGGGCTACTTGAAAACAACGGAGTCCTTTTACTTATGCCATGCACGAGATATGCTCCAACTCTTGGCACTAGCACAAGATCTCGGAGTAATGACAATTGTTGAACATGTATTAGTCTTGTGAGGGTTTATCAATGTTGGAGAATAAATCTAATTACTTGTCACATAAACCCAGTTAAATTCTTTTATAAATAAAGGATTAAATTCTATTATTATTTTCTGTCATTGTGCGCACGGACACACTTTTGACTTTTTTACTTATTCTCTATGCATAATAATTTAGGGTTTTTTTATCATATTGTAGGGAAAAAAAGTTCTACTATAAACATCAGATATAATAAGCCCGCCACCCATTAAAAATAAATAATAAAAAAATTATTACACACAATTCGATGTCTCACTAATAGAAAAAAAAATTCTCTATCAACATGAAAATTCTTTTCTCCGATAATCTGTCACCTCTTTGCCACTATCTTTTCCATACATGGATCCCATATAAATTATAATCCACCATGATCAAACAATTAGTTAATGACAAATTGAATCTTAATTTATGAGGATGGTTTTCTATTTAACAGCTATTCTGACTTATTTATTTTTCTGGATTTCCTATAGTATCTTTAATTAACACTTTCAAGAATCAAAACTGCACTACATGCAAATGAGGAACATCATCTATTAGAAATGAAATATTTAGTTTTTTTAAAAAAATCTTAGAAATAAAAGAAATAGTTTTCCTAAAAATATGATTTGGGTTACGTGCCTTTCCATCAGAAATCAGCTCCTGTAATCTTCCTTTATTTGGGTGCAACAAAATGTTTTGTGTATTATTCAATATTATCCAAAACTAGATCGGGATATATATGATGATCTTGATTCTTTATTCCACTGAAGAGAAATCCTTTTTCTTCACTGAATTCTGTTGTTATCAAAAAAAAAAAAACCCAGACTGTTATCAATCAGTATCATCTAGCACGGAAAGTTGAAAACTAGCCCCACTACCATCTGTCTATAAATATCAACCAGTTTTATTGGCCTGTTGAAGTGCACTAGATATGGACCTCCATAACCATTAATTCTCCATAATGATTGATACAATAAAAGGGTAAAAAAATATAGACGTTTGTCTTGATCATGAATACTAGGTTTTAATTTTCCTAAGTTTTATCCGGAGAAAAACATCAGTCTTTATTCACATACCTTACGAAAATAACAATAATAAAAAGGAATGAAAATGTCTGGTCCCTTATATATCAAGTTCACCTTTCCTATTAAGTGATATTTTGAGGGTAGGAGTTGGATATCAACAGATAAGAATAGTTTACCATTTGAAAAACAATTAGGGTATACATAATAACATTTCCAAAAGTATTGGGAAAACACTCGGGGTATATAAGAAATATTTTTTTCATCAAAATAAAAATAGTTAAAAATAAATTTGATAAAGTTATATTATAACATTAAATATATAATATTTATTAAAAAATATTTATTAAATACTCAATTTAGATATAAAAATAAAGTTGAGTTATGAAACATTTATTTTTTCATAAACTCTCTCTGAGTATAGAAATGAGAACAAATTCATATGAATATTACAAAACATTTTGTAAAAAATAACTTAAGTATAAAAAAAAAAGAAAAACTTAAAGAAAGACGAGATTAAGGGATAACAAACCAAGTAAAAAAAAAATCACTCCCGTTAAAAAAAAAAAAAGGCTTTACCAGTGTTTCGATTCACTGCTTGTAACAAAGCAAGTACTCTAATAAAAAAAGGGCAGCCACTATCAAATTGTTCTTGAATTTATTGTCTCATATCCAACCCAATAGATAGAAGAAACCAAGATGGAAACCGCAGGATTGGCATGTATGATTACATTACACAATAACAAAGTGTAGAGAAAGATAGATACCTGGAAACTCTTATGTTAAGCTCAAATGCGAGTTATTGATGAAGCGGAACACGTTCCTTCAGTACCTGAGAACAATTTTAGGGTAAGAAGAGGGGTGAAGAAGAGAAAGAGACTTTTGGTTTGAGTGTTAGCAATGACAACACTTACACACTTTGTGTGTTGAAACTTGAAATACAAACTCTCCAGAGCGTTTATATAAGTATAACGAGAGCCCTGCAAACTAGTGACCACTGCTTTATATCATCTATTACGGCTTGACAGTGACCCCACAAAACATTGGCCTTATTAAACAATAAAAAAAAAAATGTTGTCAAATGCCACAAACAGATTGTCGTATACAGAGAGCAAAAAATCATAGACCAAATTCCCGAGCTTGAATGCATCACTTGCCACGTAAAGGACAGGTGTCATCTATGTAGCCTCGTTTTGGTGCAGTCATTGCTTTGAGATCAACACGTATACTCTTAGCTTGCCATCTCTAAAAATTTTATTTTCTCTCAAAAAGATTTTCTAAACACTTAATTGTAAGGTATCTGATCCAACGACAAATCACGAAAAGGATTTATATTCTGTGTGAACAACAATACCTTGGTAGTTGTGATCCATGAATCTTTTTCTTTTGCCCGGGCAATTTTCTTGGGCTATTGACTTGTTTCGCATTTTCTCGTTTACTGCATTTTACATTGTAAAAATGTAAACATAAGTGGTTTTTTTTAAAAAATAATAAAAAATGAAAACTCTTAAATAAGAAAGGGAAAAAAAATTCTTAGTAGAAAATCAAACTTCAATCGTTAATATTATATCTTAATTAAGCCCTGCAAAGATATCTGTACTACATATATTGATATGAAGGTGATAAGTAATTTATATCTCTTGCCGTGACACCGAGAACGCAAAGAAGTAATTTAATTTGTTGAGAGTTTACATAACCTTTGTACTTCTGTGCCATAAATATTTCGTTCAATAACTATCTTTGAATTTTACCGGAATTTTATCAAAAAAATATTTCTCAATTTGTAACATTATTCTCTTACATATTGTGGGTACTAATTAATATAAAAATTGAGCAAATTCTTATACAAAACTAAATTAACACACGTGCGATGTATGGAATTAAAATATCAGCAATAAGATAATTGTTAATTATACTAAAAATACATAAGATAATTTTATGAGTGATAAGAAACTAAAAAAATTAAATTCACTACTACAAGAAACCTATTTTACATAATAATATTATATGAGATTTTTATATTAGATTAAAATAATATACACTGTTTACCAAAAATAATAATAATGATACACGGTAACAAAAAAAAAGGTGCAAGCTTGACCAATTTCGGATATGCTTGTTTAAATATATTAAAAATAAGGGAAGAATGAAATAGAGTAGGATAGAAATATTTTGTGCAATGTGTGGTAATTTATTTTCAACGTTCTCTCCTTTTATAATATAAAAAAACTAAAGTAAGTTTTCTTTCAGATTTTTTTTATTTTTTTTATTTTCTATTTCCCCACTGAAACAGAGATAACATTAGATATGATGAAACCCACATAAATTTCACGTCAAATCCATACCGTTATTCTAATCCACCCAAGAATCACTTGCTTTGGTGGAAAGATGCACATGCATGGGCATGGCAATATACCCTGCGCACCAACGCATGAAAACGTGCTTCCAGAAACCTGAGATTCTGGCAAGAGCTATTCCCAATCTGGAAGATTATGGGCTGGACTTTCACTGATGAGCCCAAGCCCACTGCCCAATCATTTTGTGGTCCCAAATTTCACCCCCAACTAAGCATGTAGACATGCTACGTATTTGTGGAAGCAGACTTCTGCTCACGCTCCCTTCAAAATAATAATAATACTTAATAAATAAAAATAAAAATAAAAGAGAAATCTACTTACGCATTTTTTTGTGCATCTAGGAGGCTAATTAGAGTGAAATACTCAAATCAAATTAATCATATATACACTTTAATGCATTTTCTTTTCAAAAATTACCCCTTTATGTCCTCTCTTTTTTCCCCTTTGGAAGCATTTGGTATTTTTATTTTTATTTTAAAAATTGAGACGTTAAAAATGCGTTCCATAACTTTAAAAATTAATCATAACATTTTGAAGGAGACACCAACATTGACAATGAAATATGGCATGTTTGTTTCATTTTTGGTCAAAATCAAATGGACATTGATGTTGACGAGCAGCGGGCAAATACACAAACAAGATTGTTATTCTCGCATGTCTAAGGTTGTGCATAACAACGATTTTGCTTTTATTGTTTTTAGAAAGAAAAAAAAAACTTTTTTTTTTGTTTATATCCTTAGGAAATATTTTTGAGAAAAAATATAAATATATTTAATAATACAACTTATTTTTATACATAAAGATAATATGTAAATAATTTTTTTAATAAATAATGTGTATTTAATACTAATAACATATTCTACCATACTTTTTTTTATGTCTACTTACCTATCATTATTCAATACCGTTAGATCAGAATCTCAACTAATCTTTATTATTTTTCTCTCCTCGT